CATCTTGAGTGTAGGTGACCTCTATAGTATGGACACTTTGAAAACATTCCAGACCCTGCAAGAGGAATTTTCCCTCCCCTCCAGGGACCTCTTTCTTTATCTGAGGGTCAAAAACATCTTACAGACCTAGAGCCAAGACGAAGGGACTGCATTACGCCCCAGGGTCTACTGCCCACATCACTTATTGACCTCCCGCACCGTAAAGCCCCTGTCCCATTGCTACACTGCCTTATGGGATAATGTTACCTCACACAAACTCCCGTATATGACACAGTGGGAAAGGGATACTAGAAAGGAATTCACTTTACAGCAATGGCGTGAGGCCATCTCCCTTACCAGGAAAGCCTCCATTATCCTCTCCATGTGGGAGGCATATAGCAAAACTGTGATGGGATGGTACATGGTGCTTCACAGACCGGCCAGGATGTATGACACAGTCTCCCCTCTCTGCTGGAGGTGCGAGAGCGCACAGGGTATGATGTCACATATCTTCTGGGAATGTCTGGAAATTAAGCCCTTTTGGACAGGTTTACAGGATATGATCCGCATGACTACCTCCATTTCCCTTCCACTAACACCTGAGGGGTGCCTACTACATATACTGCCCACTCTGCACTATAATCAATGCACCTCGCTGATTATTAATCTCCTAACGGTCACAAAAATGGCTATAGCTTCCCAATGGAAAAGCAAGGTGATCCCCTCCCTGGAGGAGATCTCAAAGAGATTAGATACTGTCTGCATATACGAACAAATGGCCCTCAGGATAAGAGGAAAAGTGCAGCAGCATGAGACATTATGGCATTGCTGACTCACGCACCGTGAGGCAAACATGACAGTTACTCCAGGCCCGAGTCAGTAGACATAGCACAACTGACCCGAAATGCAAAGAGTATATACACCCTATTGGACACCAACAAACACAGCTAGTTCACGCTTTTCTCTCTCTCTCTTTCTTTTTTTTCTTTTGTTCTCTCTCTTCCCTTTATTTTAGTCCCTTGTTCTCAAGTTCTATGTTGCATACATTATTATTTCTATGCCACCGCACATGACAGACAAAGTGACACTGAAATAAAGCCAATGGCTAAGTGTTCACTCACATTTTCATCAATTGCACACAGGGGCCAAGACCAATCCTGAGTAAGTAGTGATCTCCCGAACGGTTCGCTGGCGAACATCGCTTGTTCGCGTTGACCATGGATGGCGAACATATGCGCTATTCATCATCATTGAGTAAACTTTGACCCTGTACCTTACTGTCAGCAGACACATTCCAGCCAATCAGCAGCAGACCCTCCCTCCCAGACCCTCCCACCTCCTGGACAGCATCTATTTTACATTCATTGTGAAGCTGCATTCTTAGTGAGCTGTCCAGGAGGTGGGAGGGTCTGGGAGGGAGGGTCTGCTGCTGATTGGCTGGAATGTGTCTGCTGACTGTGAGGTACAGGTTCAAATTTTACTCAATGATGACGAATAGGGGGCGGACCGAACAGCGCATATGTTTGCCGCCTGTGGCGAACCGTTCGGGACATCACTAGTAACCAGCCATAGTGTCTCTGATCACTTCAGGCAAATACACAATCAGGACCCTATGGGCTAGTTTTTATAGGAATTAAAGGGGTTTTTAAAGACTGGAGAGGGAGGAATTTTATTAAGAAAATTGGCCAGGAAGAAATGATATGGGTTTATAATTTGGATACCCTGCTGGTCTGAATATATATTTTGATTTGTTTAATTTTTTTTATAGTTTTCTATAATAATGATTTTTATTTTCTTCTGCTCCTCAAAGACCATATTCCCTAGTGTAAAGGGACTCAATTAATATTGCTATTATTTCATTCCTAATATCAATCGTTTAGGAGATATGCCCCATTTCTTATAATATTTTTAACATTTAATGATTTTTTTCTAATTTTAATTTTGTAATTTGTATTTTTATGAACTACTGGGTCTTTTAAATAGTGATCTCACTTTTTACTTCATATATGATTAATTGCACAATTACAGTGGGATCGCTTTTATTACGATAATGTGACTATTCATATATTTTGTTGAATTATTATTCTGTCCATAAAAACTGTAATCTAATATATTTCTCATTTATTTTTATTTTCTTTCCCTATATAATTATTGATGGGGACTATTGTGACTAATGTGTGTGTATTTTGAAGACTTGTTATGAACGTTTTTAACATAGCACAATAGTTGATTTGAACTTTTGGGCATGGGCACTTTAAAAGGCGTGGCATTCCGTCACTGCTACAACCTACAAAAGGATGCCGTGGGAGGACTCATGTATGCTTGAGAGGCAGGGCAAAACGCGTAGCTCCAGGCCAAATCCGGAAGTTACTGCACATGTGTAGAGACAGAGATCAACCTAAGGATACAGAGAGGACGTTCCTTTTGTCCTCTAGGTCTGTGTCTCTGTTTATGTATTATAGATTTTGAGACCTGCATCAAAAGGAGAGTGCAAGTATACAATTTTGTTTTACTGAATAAGACTCTGCACTCTTTCACAGTGTGACATTGGTGTAACTTTTTCCCACTAATAGGTTTTAAGTGCATTTATCTGGAAATTCCAGATATGTTGTCCCTTTTGCAGCACTGACACTTGTGTATAGATTTATACGGTTTACCTGCGAACCTACATCTTTTATTTTATTTATTTCTTGAGAGATTTTATTTATCAGTGGTCCTTGAAGGTTGCTGCATCTATATATTATTGTTCTGAGTTTGCCTTAGGAAATGACACTTGTTTTTGTAAATATTTTGCGCCATTCTAATTTGTTGGTTTTTATCGTCGAATATAAGGCTTGTTTTTCCTATTTTTTACATTGAAATTTGCCAGATTGGTTATGTTGCCTTTGAGAGCGTATGGTAGCCCAGGAATGAGAATTATCCCCATGATGGCATTCAATTTGCAAAAGAAGACAACACAAAGTATTGCAAATGGGTTATGTTCAGTCTTTTTTAGTAACCATTAGGTAACAAACACTGTTCAAATTTAGAGTTCATAATTTTCTTTTGCATTTTTAACACACAAACAAATATAAATGCTTACTCTTGCCAGTCTCAAAAGCAAGATAACCAATCTGGCAAATTGTAATGTGTATAAACTGAAAAATGAAACATGCTATATTTAACACTGTAACTTTCCAAAACACCATAAAACCTGTACATGGTGGTAGTATTGTTCTTATAAGTGGAGTTGTGCGGACACCTGGAAGTTCAGGTCCGGCGGGTTCGGCCGAACTTTGAAAAAAAGTCCGGGTTCAGGCTCGAACTTGACCCCGAACCCGAACCCTATTGAAGCCAATGGGGACCTGAACTTTTGGCCACAAAAATGCCTCTAAAAAACTCCTGGAAAGAGCTAGAGAACTGCAAAAGCAAGTAAAATGGGGGTACGAGTAGGACAAGTGCCCTGCAAACAAATGTGGATAGGGAAATCACTTAAAATAACATAAAAATTAAAAATACAGCTGAGCCATAAAATAGCACCAGATGGAATCTTTGATTTTAGCTTTGGAAGAACATAAAACAAAATCTAAAGCACGGCTGTCAGGAGGATCACCAGAATTATCCATTTGAGAGAGGGTTGAAGTGCAGGGTATTCTCTTTTATTGTTCAAACTGAGCTCAACTCCTGAAAAGGCCTTCAAAAGCCTCTGCTATTGTGTACATAGTTTATACTAAGTGACCCATAGGTTGAGGAGGCGGTGACCATGGCAGTGTAGGTGGAAGCGGTGGTGGAAGAGGAGGAGGTAGCCAACACTTTTTTTTATTTATTTTTTTGTTTGTTTTGTTTTTTAATTGTGGTAGCCCCCAAAATATTGGTACAATTAAAAAAAAGAAACATTTGCGGCCTGCGGTGCATTTCTTGCAGTCCTGATGCATGGAGAAATGCTCAACTCCTGATGCATGGAGAAAAGGCCTTCACAAGCCTCTGCTAATGTGTACCTAGTTTATACTAAGTGACCCATAGATTGAGGAGGCGGTGACCGTGGCGGTGTAGGTGGAAGCAGCGGTGGAGGCAGAGGATGAGGTAGCCAACACTGTTATTTATGTTTTTTTTTTTTATTGCTGTAGCCCACAAAATATTGGGACATACAACAAAAGAAACATTTGCGGCCTGCGGTGCATTTCTTGCAGTCCTGATGCATGGAGAAATGCTCAACTCCTGATGCATGGAGAAAAGGCCTTCATAAGCCTCTGCTTGGTGACCGTGGCAGTGGAGGAGGAGGATGACGTAGCCAACACTGTTTATATATATATATATATATATATATATATATATATATATATATATAAATATTGTGATCCTTGTCTGCAGATAGCATGGTCCTCTAGGGTAAACAACAGGCACAGTCCTTTGGTTTTCATATAATCCAGGCAGTTTTATTGTTAAACTCCACCACATATACAGCAGCAAATGAAAAAAACAACAATAACACAAATCCCTATAAACAAAAGCCTAGCTCGTCTGAGCACTAACTAACATCAGATTCCCTCTCCCTCAAGGGTTAAACTAAAACAAAATAACATTTGGGTTCACCAACCTAGTGCCTTTGTCAGATCTCTGCACTCCACACTCGGTTAGTATGTGGCTTCCATTCCTTCTAGAAATAAACAAAATTCTCTCTCTTTTCCGCACTCCCAGTACTCCAATCTAGCCTTGACTGCTTTCCTTTTGCACTCCAAGTGCTCAGTCTCCTTGACTCTCTCACTGGAAAGAACAGCCTCTCTCCAACCTGCTTCCAGGGAGGAAGCCAGCAATCCCCCTTTACCTTCCTAGCAGGGAGGGGTTTATTCCCACTGCTACAGTTGATTATCTGCAGCTGAGCAGTGGGTTGGAGACAGTTCCAAAAATCTCTGGCCTGGACCTTATTTCTCCCAGTTGTGAATAAACTGAGGAGTGGGGCATTGGCCCACCCTTCTCTCCAAATGCTCCACCCCAGGGGCCCATAACTAAAGATAGCTTTGTGTTGCACACCACACATACAA